TTTTCGGTTAAATCGGGACATATCATCATCATGTTTTATCATATGATTCCAAGACTATTTACAGCATTATACTAATACATGTTTGCATTTCTTTTTATTTGTTACCTCTTTAGAAACATTAATATATGATTATAACTTCTTATTCACACTCCTCGTTATAACATGCGATTATAATTTCCTAAATTAACTTTTTTAAAATACTTTTTTTCCATTCAATAATCTTAAACATGCTCAAGCTTTAAAATGAATGTCATACTTATTTTATTGTGATATAAATTGAAACACTTTTCTTATTTTTCCTTGATTTAAGATCTTGATTTGACCAAAATTCGTCTTAATTTATAGAAAGTTAATTTTAGCCTATAATTCATATTTTTAGGTAATATACCAGTTTTTTGATATTATTTTGTAATTGAGAAGGAAAAGAATGGGAAACATTGAAAAAAACAAGTAAAAAGCTTAGTGAAACATCAAGGGAGAAGAAAAATAGTTGGCTTAGTTTTCACACTAAGCATCAGCCTAAGCATGAAATCCATGCTTAGTGCCACAACTACAAAGGTCCATTCTTGTTGTTCCTTGTCTCACACCAAGCATGGAAATCTATGCTTAGCGTCAAAAGTACTGACATGTCATTATTGAGGAGAGACAAAAGAGTTTATGACATGAAATGAAATTTGGGGGACATACATTGAAGAATATTTCTAGGGATGTGTGTGATAGCTAAAGAGGTTTCATAGCTTCAAGATCAAATGTCTTCCTTTTTTCACCATTTTTATTGTGTTTCATGTTTGTGTGTAGTTAATTTCTCCCTTGTTGGGGGTTTCATATAACTATACCTATTCTCATGTTAATATTCTAAGTTATTAATCTCAGTTGTATTATTCAATATTATGAATCTCTCTTCTTTGCTTAACACTTGTTTTGGTTTGATCTCTCTTAACTTAATTTTATCGGTTTAAAGTGATTGGAAATGCTTGTGAACCTTTGAATAGAAGTAAAGCAACTAATGGTGTTTATCTCTAGAAATAGAGTAAATGTTATTATCCATTTATAAACTCTTGTTTCTTAAAGCTAGGTTCTTGGTTAAGTTATGCAACAAATTGATAACTTAAATCAAGAAGCTTAGACCCCAACTTGTAAGGGATTAAGGTTTGTCAAAACCCGAAAATTTCCGATTTTGCGACCTATGGTTTAGACATCTTTTTAAAAATCTCATCAATTAAGGAATGCTAGAGACCAAACTAATCCCTAATTAATGTTTTTTGAAAATGAGTTCATGAAGTTTCCACCAAATGTTTTACTCAAAACAATTGGAAAAATGAAAAGATTTTGGAAATCCAATAATGGTCTTTATAACCAAAATTGAGTTCGGGGGTCGTTTACATACAAGGAAGGTATTATAAGCACCCCTATAATGCCCTTTCGGTACCCTATGATGGAGTTAGCATAAGAATGAGTAATAATTTAGACATCTTTTCCCCTTTATTAATGCATATTTAAATTACACGAATTTACCTAGGATATCTACATGGTTATTCCTTTTATTTGGAACAAGAGTCAATTAATATGAAGAAGCAAGGAGAGAGAAGTGTTAATTAAAATACCTCTTGATCGAGCTTTATTAGATCTTCAAATATGGAGACTCTTTAGGTACTTTTTGGCTACCTTTCACACTACAACTGCCTCACAAAATCTCAAGAAATACAATAAGAGTGAGAAAGGGAATTTTCGAGCTACTAGAGACTTTCTAGATGAATTTTTCCCGACCCTAAGAACAGTGTTTGAGTCTGCTATTTATAGACGTTAGAAGTTTCTAGAATAGCCCGTTCCAGATTCGGAATGGACCGTTCTGAATTCATTCGTCATGTGTTAATTTCGCATCTGGAACGACCCGTGCTTATAACAGAACGACCCGTTCTAGAGTTGAGTTTTAACTCATAACTCCTAGGTTGGAACGGCCCGTTCCAAACTAGGGTTTTAGGCCTTTTTGGTGTTTTGGAACGACCCATTTCAAATTGAGAACGACACGTTCCATGTTAGGAATAGGTCATTCCAGCTTGAGAACAACCCGTTTTAGTTTGGGAACGAGACGTTCCATTTTGGGAACAGCCTGTCTGGGCTACTAAAACCAGCTTGTTTGGGCTTCAAGCTTCCTTGTTTTCATATGGTGTTGCCTCCATACTTTGGGAGCTCCTCTTCTTCATAGTAGACGTCCATTTCATTGTTGTTGTGGGTCTAGACGAAATTGGGTGTCTACAAGGTTTAAGTATATTTGTGAGTTGAATGATAATTTTTGAGTTGCTTGTTTGTAAGCATGAAAATATGGTTTGGTGAAGTTAAACCCTAACATATTTCATTATTGTGTTAAAACCAGTTTTGCACTCCAACTGTTTATAAAAATATCAGAAAGATTTATTATAACATTTATATTTATTTAAGCACTTTATTTTCTACAATCAATCAATATTTTTCTTCCTATAGTTTAGTTTAATATAATTAGTGGTTTTTTTCCAAGTATTATGTAAATCCCTCGGTAGACGATACTCATACTTATCATTAAACTACTTGTACGATTTGATACACTTGTTAAGGAGATAACATTTTAGAACCTCCTCTTGAATTTACACAAGTTAAAAGGTAGTCTCGACAGACCAATCAGTTCATCATCCAACAAAGAAAGCGAAAGAACTAAGTATCCTTTTGATTAGGAGTGACAAATTAATTCATCTATCCATCATCCATCTAACTCATCTTCAAGTAAATTCATCCAATTCATTCATTACAATAAAAATAAATAATAAATACAATCTAATCAATCCATTTAATTTTATGGAAGGTTAATTAATGATCTATTCACTATTTTTTTTCAAAATCTATTAAATTACAATATAAGATGCTTATTGGATTGAGAATTTAAAAGATTATTTTGACACAAAAAAAGGTCTTGAGAATTCTAAAAGACTAATAAGAATGTAATAACTTATAAAAAAGAGAAATAAAATATTTCAAAAATAAAGATTATTTAATTTTTTAAAACATTACTTTTATGAATGGATTAGATATTCAGATATTCATCCGTGAAAAAATTGTTAATGGATGATTTTTTTCTTTAAATGAATTGGATGGATTGGATTGGATTTTATGCAAATTTTTAATGAATCTAAATGGATTAATGAATTATTTTTGTCAAATATGTTATGATCCACCTAAAAAATTATCCTATCCATTCATTCGACACTTACCTTTAATGAAGATGTTTTAGTAGAAGTCATCATCCAAGATCCCCTATCCAAAAAAAACCCTCTAACCTTTAAAAACAAGCCCAAACAGCACCTCAACCCAAACCTAAACCTAGAATAATCCTTAAAAAGGATTTTTTTTACAAGAAAATTGACTTGTACTGATGGACATAAATTGTCAGTAAAAATTGAAAAATTTGTAAGCAAATGTATGTTGTACATTAAATTACTCATGCACGATCTATTTGTCCATTATGTGGGTTGTATAGCAACTATTTTGTAAGTTTTACCTACAACAAATAGTTGTAAGTACATGTTTTTGAGTCTTATTATAACACCCATTAGTGTGCATGGCACTTTTAATGATAGGTTAAAAAGGTTTTTTATGTCAATTCTAGACCCATCATAAATCCATCGGTATAGAAAGTCTTGACATTTTATGTCGGTTATAAAAATAGCCAGCATAAAAAGTCTTGACCTTGTATGTTGAGTATAAAAATAATTGGCATAAAAAGTCTTATATTTTAGGTTAACAATTGGTTCTTTGTCATGCTCTTTCCCTCTCATCGGATTCATATTCCACTTTCATGCTCTGTTTCTATCATTTTCATATTTCTTTACACTCCACCATCATGCTCTTTTTTCTCATTGTTGCATCTCTTTGTGTTTTGCTACCATGTTCTTTCCTTCTCATGCTTGCATCTTCGTGTTTTGTCACCACTGGGTTTTGCATTTTCCCCTTCCACCACCATGTTTGCTTCCAAATCACCACATTGTCAAAGCAAAAATAAAAATAAAAAAATAAAAGGAAAGGTAGTGAATTAAAAGAGAAAACACAAAAGAAAAATGAAACTAAAAGAGGAAAATAATTTACCAAAATGTACGAGGAGGATGCGAAGGAGGACAACAAAGAAAAGAGAAAAGTAGCGAAACTAGAAACAAAAGTTTAGAGATGAAAAATTCAAATTGCATTTTTTGAAATTTTAAACCACTTTTTATGTTGAGTGTTGTTTAACCCATCATAGAAAGTTTTTTTCTATGTCAAGTCTTATTACACTAGTCATAGAAAGGTTGGTTCAACTACAAAGTTGACTCTCTCCAACACATTCTATGATGGATGTTGACTCATCTAACATAAAAACAAAAAAAAAATTCTATGATGAGTGAATCCACACCCATAATAAAAACTTTTACTATATTTACTTGCTTTAATTATATTTTGTTTTAATTAAAAACAAGGTAAGGTTGGTTTAAAAAAGAGTTTTTCGTAAACATTCCTCAATTTATGCTTCTCATCTCTCGCTTCTCTTCTTTCTCTTTAAAGTTGTAGAAACCCTCAAAGAGAACGTAGAGACCACCAGAGCGCATCCTAAAAATTCTTGCCCTTCTTCTAGCATCTATCAAGGTAAGGGGGAGTGAGAGTTCTTTCTCTCAACTATGGGTATTTACATGTGCTTTATGGTTAATCTTTGAGTTATATATTTTATGAATTGCAATTTATTTGGGTTAATTGTGAATCTTTGATATCTTGTGATTCTTGTAAGAAATCCTTAATTTATAGAGCAGGGTAAAAATGATTGATAAGAATCGACGGTATTTAGTATATATGATGTTTATTTTGAGTAATTAATGATGTAATTGTGCAATTTTAGGCTTTAATTTTTTTATTTCATCAATTGGATATGGTTTTAAGGGTTTAGGTTTCGATTTGTGAAATTTCGCACTTTATTGTAAGTGACGCAAAATTAATGTCGTGTTAGGATGCCATTTGGTTTGTGGCAAGCATGGGAACCACAGTGTCTCCTTACTTGTTGCCTTTACGTCAAGCATGAGTTGGGCCACACCAAGTGTGTGGGACCTCAAGTGGTTCTTTTTATGGGTCTGGCATTAGGCATGGTGAGCCTCATTGGGCACCATCCCAAGGTTATGCAAGGATGTTTATGTGTAGTTTTGAGGAGTTTTGGTAAGTTTTACTTTAGAATAGGATTTTGGGTATCAATATGAATATAGTGAGGATCTTAATATGATATAAGTGCATTTTTAAAGTCAAGTTGTGATTAATTGAACTGTTGTTGGAAGTATGCATAATTGACATGATGATGATGATATGTATGCATGAGATTGACATGATGATTATATGTATGCATAATATTAATATGATGATAATGTGTGTGTATGATATTTGTATAAAGTTGATGCGTTAAGTGAATAATATAAGTATGAGTTGAGCTCATGAGATAAAATATGCATGGTGTCTTGTATGCGAGGCATGTGTCATGTGCATAAGCATTTGCCTTTGGACCATGAGTAATCACTTTTATTGGGCCATGAGTATTAGTTTTTGGGTCATGTGTTTTGAGGTCCTTTGGTGCCACATGCATATTATCTAGTGAAGTCTATGTTCATTACATCAATGCGATAATATGTATTGTGGATATGTTGATGTTCATTGTATTACTTCTTTAAGTTATAATTGGGATGATTATTGTATTGTACTATTATTATGCTCTATTGTTATTTGTGTGTGGCTATCCAGCTCTATCTCACATTGTTAGCTAGAGTGAGACATATCTCATTCTCCTTATTATTTTGTTGTTTTTTGTGATATGTTTTGTAGGAGATTTACATAATGATGATGTGTATGCATGAGATTAACATGATGATGATGTGTATGCATGAGATTAGCATTATGATGATATGTATGCATGAGATTGACATATTATGATGATGTGTATGCATGTGATTGACATGAAGATGGTGTATTAAGTGAATAATAATATGATTATGAGGTGAGTCCATGAGATAAAGTGTCGCATAGTGTCTTGTATGTGACACATGAATCATGTGCTTGAGCATTCACCTTCGAGTTATGAGAATTTTCCTTCGGACCGTAAATAGTTGCCTTCAAATCATAAGTATTCACCTTTGAGCCATGAGATTTCGTCTTCAGGCCATGACTAATCACTTTCAAGCCATGAAAATTCACCTTCGAGACACAACTATTAGCCTTTGGGCAACATGTTATGAGATCCTTTGGCACCACATGCATATAGACTATAGTGATCAAGTCGATGTCCATTGCATTTGTGTGATCATGAGTATTATGGATATTTTGATTTTCATTGTATCACTTCTTTAAGTATAATTGTGATGAATATTGTATTGAACTGTTACACACACACACGCACGCACGCACGCACGCACGCGCGCACGCACGCACACACACATACACACACACACACACACATTGCATGAGGATCATCGGGACAATGATGATGCTTATGTTTTAGATAAAGCTCTAATAGGATGTAACACTGAAGTTATTAGTTAGGATTCACTACTTGTTATTCTTGGTCATTTATCTTGAATTAGGATATTGTTAGTCATTAGATTTATGTATAGATTTTGCATGACCATTTTGGTCCAGTTGTTATACATTATTCTCCTTGTTATGTTTTTGAAACTTGTTTTATATATTTTGAAATGAATAAGGTGAAATCCTTTATCCCTAGAGATATTTTACGAATTTCATTTGATTTATAAGTAAATTTTTTAATTAGTCTTTTTTGTTTATATTGATATTATTTATGAATATTAATATATGGGGTAGAGAATGTCACATTTACCAATACTAAATATTTATAGATAAAAGTAATTTTAGTTTTACCCACAATCATCATGTTTGCAAGAACAAAACATTTGTAGGTATAGATTACTTAACTTATAGTGACCAACCTTTGCCTTATCAACACCAACCTCTACAAAGGCATTTTCATCCTTCAAAACCCTAAGAGATATAGGTTTGACTACCAGCTTGTGAGTACTCTTGAATACCTGATGGTAATCGAGTTTTGCATGAACAACGTAACCTTTACCTTGGTTCACAAGAACAACCAATCATTCACACAATTGTACCTCTATCCTGCCTTGCCTTTGTCCTAAATATTTCTATTGCGATGAAAAGCCCAATGGACCCCTTGCTGGATAGTTAGGCTTTAAGTCACTATGAAGCTTAGGAAGGAGAAAAGAATGACCTCCGAGGAATAGTGCACTCCAAATCCATATCCCATCACTATTAATATTAGAGCTCGCAAAGAAGTTATTGTTTTGGAACTTGTATCTATATTTGAACTTTGAAGGACACTTTCAGTGTTAGCTAGGAAGCAACAAAGATCGTGCGTTATTTTTAATAAGTGTTTTGAGAGGAAAAGTTATCATCCACATGTTATACGTCCTCAATTCAAATGGAAACAACCACTTGGGGTTATCCAACATCTTATTCTAACAAGGTGAACAATCTAATAAGAAGAAGTGCAAGATTAAAGTCCTCTTAATAAGGAAATTATCTTCAGATCGCTGGACCTTCGGTTTCGTCCACTCCAACCAACAGAAGAATGCTTTTATTCTTTGTTGGACGAGTTGAAATATATTGCTAACAAAAGAATGCTTTCTAAGACCTTACATGTGAAAATATGAAAGTGCATTCCAATACAAAGCACAAAATAGAATGCACTAAGCATTATTCGGTCAAAGCTACTTTACAATGATAAAAATGAGCCTTTAAGAAAACATCTTTAAGCATTGGGTTAAACAATGAGTAGTGGAAAATTAATTAAGATAGATATGCATATTTTAGTGTGTCTATATATATAAAGGAGGTATTAAATTACATTATTATAAGTCACGCCAACTCTTATATTATTGATGTAATTTATATTAATATAATTTCATTTCTATATATAAAGCACATATCAAATACTGACAAGCACGAGATTAATTAATACAATTTTTTTTATTTAATTAGTAGTTTTGATTTAAGTTATGGATATGTAGATGTATTTAATACTCATATATGAGAAAAGTTTTGTTGTTTATAATATTTCTATTCCGTTCGAATAAGATTTACTCTAATAGGAAATAAAAATAAATAAATAAATAAAAATATCAAATAAAATAATGATGTAAAAATAACAATTATATAAATATAGATGTTTGATTACTCTTTTGATTCCTATAATTTTATAAATTTTACATTTTAGAGTTTAGGGTATCAAATCATATAATTTAAAATGTTTCATTTGAGTCTATATATCCCATTTTTATTCCTTTTTAGTGTTTATCTTCTATTTTTTATAGAGACTAAAATGTAACATTAAAAAAATTTAGAGAGTAAAAGAAAACAAAACACTATATATAGATTAAAATAGAATATTTTAATTATATGAGAAAAAAGTAAATATCATTTTTTTTTCTGAAAAAAATAAAGTTCATAAAATTATAAGAACCAAAAAAAATAAAATTAAACCAATGTAAATCATTCAAGCACACTTAAAATGATTATGATTGAAAGAAAAATATACATAACTATTTTAAATATTCATGTAAGTTCTAATTGACTTTCAATATTAATATTAATTATCCATATTCCATAACTCAAATATAATTCTCATATCTTATAATAAGAAACTTTTTGACAAGATATATTATATATACAACATCAACATTAAATAGACAAGAAAACACGATGGTCGACCTTTCACTATGTGCAATCAATTAATTAATTGTACGTGCATTTTATTTACTTATTATAGCGTGAAACAACATATGTGTTTATTGCTTTATTGCATGCATGTGGACATGATTGATATTAAGATTATGATAATCTTTACGATCTCGACAAAGAGGATAAAGTTTGTGCCTTTCCCTCTTTCGGGGCACGTAATTTGAAATCCACTTTGTTCGCAATATTTTACAATAGCTCTTTTGGAATTATTTAGCATAAGTTCCATTCTCTGCCTAACATGCTTAAACACTTACATAAATAATATTAAAGTTTCATTAGTAAGCGAATCGATGCTTTGGTCAATACTGTTTTGGAATCCTTCACTATATTATGGTTGAGAAAAAAAGTTTAAAGATTATTATCATCATTTTAAAAAACATGCAGATAAATTAGTGGGAATATCACCTACCGCCTCTTTATTGTTTATAACAATACAATACACTCTTTTCGGGTAACACAATTTTATCTTTGTAAACTACCTTTTATTTTTTTTTATTTTTTTCAAATAATCTCTTATTTTATCAAAATTAATTAAAAAAATTTTAAAAAAAATTATGGAAGCATGAATTTTCTTATTAATAATATATAGAGTATGTTTTCGATTTTTTTTTTCAGAACACTTATAAGAAGAAAAAATAATGAATAGAAAATGAAATTAGCTACTCATAAATTAAAATTAACTTACGTATAAATTTCAAAAGAAAAATTAGAAAAGTTAGCATAAGAGAGATTTCACAAATTAACTTATATATAAATTAATTTATTTTATAAAGAAATTTATTCCATTTTTCTTCATTTTTTTTAATTGTTTATAGAGAGGTTTATCTTATTAGACTCTAAAATTGTGATATAGCATGATTTTAATCTGATAATACAATATCAACAAATCATTTGTCTAAATGAAATTAGACTTAAATTCTTTATACAAGATTTTAAGTTTGAGCCTTATTAATGAAAAAAAAATATATAAAAAGAAACTTCATTAATTAATTAGATTTTCGTAAAAAAAATCAAAATCAATAAATATTTCATGTCTGACACATGATGGCCTAAAAAATATTACAATATGGTCACATTTAAGACAGTGTCTTCTTCGTCTTTGTTTTCCGAAAAAGGGAGAGAAAAAATTAAATAGTGACACAAATTAAATGAATGCAAAAGAAATGTTAATATTAAGGATTTAATAGAAAAGTACTAACAAAATAAAATAATTTTATATTATTGATCAATTAAATATTACTTTTTGTATGCTTTTTATTTGTTTATTATAATATTAACCACATAAATAGTTATTTATGATTAATTACATTAATACATCACTCAGTTGTAAAATTCAATAACTTATGTAAATGATAATTTGTTAATGTTGCATTAACATTGTAATAAATCACCCATTTTCT